CCCTGTTATACTCTCCCACCGACGCAGCACCGCAGTTTCTTTAGAAACTTACCCACTTAACTTAACTTACAGGTTTTCAAATATGGGCCAATGCTGCCGTTTAGGTAGTTGATCAGAGAACAAATACTTTAAGTTGTTGTTGTTCAGGTATCTGCATCGTCAACAAAGAAACAGTATTAGTGGAACATTAACGGCCTAATTTGGTTTCTTCTGCTTTAATTGATAAAGACTTAAAACACAGACTGAAACATTTGCAGACCCATCGTTGAATGTTAAAATATGAATAATTGAGTCATTATGATGAGAGATTTTCGGTAACTGAGTCGAGCACAGACTGATTGGCTTCTTGCATTCTCCTGGCGGATGGAGTTTATATGGAATATATGAAAATAACAAGAGAAAAAAGAGAAAAAACTAACTTCTGAATAAAAAAAAACTACACGTCTTTTGGTGCTCCTTTTTTTTTTTTTAAGAGATTAAAACCTACTGCGACAGGAGCCCATTACTTGGGCTCCTGACTGCGAGACATTACTGCGAAAATCACTCTCATCTTCAGACGATAAACCGTATATAATTCTTACGAAAACCCCCGTAGGAAAAAAGTTTTGATATTTTAAGCAATATCTGGCACAAACAATGCCTACTGCGGGTCTAAATTAAAGTTTCCTTTTCTCCAAGTACTTTTACCGCATGGTATGACGTCAATGATACTATGGGGTTTTTCAGTACGGAAGGAAAATTCACTTACTCGATTCTGATCTGTTTGACAATTAATTTATACGATAAAACTTAGATTAAAAGCGTTATCCCCTGCCTGCCCAACTAGATTTGCTTCTGTCCCCATAGTTGTGCTATTGTCTTCTGTTCAAATATCTGGGGGGTGGTACAATGGCCGAAATTTTTGCCAGAGTACATGGAGTAATTAAAATAATTCAAAATGGCGTTTGTCGTCGGGCCATACTTAAGTTTTTTTTATAAAATATTGCGAAACAAATTTTTGCCGCCAAAAATCGCGTTAGCACTCAATGCCCGCTCACAAAACTCAGGTTTGAGGGAGGGAGAAACACAAGATGTAGTCGAGTGTTCCTCCCCACTAGTTCATAAATACATGCAATTTTTTTCACATGAAAATTACAAAACAAACTGCTTATGGTGTGTGTTTTATGAATACACGACATCCGAATTCACAGGAGCATGAAGATTGCCAGGTATGACAGCGCCGTAAAACCCGCCTTCTGAGACCGATGTGGCCTTCCACTCAACGCATTGGAAAGGATATCAAGGTAAGTTCTTGGTTTTTCAATCGAGGGGCGGCCGATGTAATTTCCAATTTCTAAATGGTTGTCTAGGTTTATCGAATCATTCTGATTGCTTAATTTGGCATCTAGAAAATCTTTGAACTAAAAGAACCGTTGGTGATGTATTTTTCGTCGTTTTTCTTATGTTACTTTCTAAGAACAAATATTACAAAACAACGATCTAAATGTCGGTGTATAGATTGGAAAATCTCGACCATGAGCAATATCGAGTTTAACCAATCAAATACTTCGATTTGTTTGTAGGTTGTCATTTTGAGACGTGGCCATATAATAAACAGTTATTTTCACAACATCATAACACGATATTTGCTAAAGAAGAGCAACTTAAAAAAAAATCCCTATAACACCTGTAAGAAATGTTCTACTTACAGTTCTTGAAGGAAGACCATTTCAAAAAAAGCTCTTGGAGGCAGTTGTTCCAGTTGGTTATAGGACAAGTCACTATAAAAGAGAAAACAAGGTGAACCCTTTATCATGAAATTTCAGGTATTCGTGACTCACACTGAAATCATTATAAGGAAATGGATTTTCTGGGGCTAACGAAGCTTTGAGTTTAAGTCAAAGTAAGTC